ATATATATATATATATATATATATATATTAAATACTAATAATAATTAAATATAATATATTTTTAAAATTGATTTGATGTTTTCTGAATTTCAAACTCATTCCAATTTCCAACACATTCAACACCCCCTATAAGGGGTGCCATTAGCACCCCCTTAAATAGTTAAAAAGTGTAAACTGATTAACAAGAGACTGATGTTGCACAGGTGAAGAGACATTACGAAAAGGAGGACGCCGGAAAATGCAAACAGCGGTTGCCCGTCGGCGAGATTAACGATAAACATCCGGCGAATTTATTCATATACTGAGTATTGCTTCTGAAAAAGTTGTATGTATCTTACCATATGACAACTCATGTATATTTTTTTCCGGCATTACACTCAGCTTTTCCGTTAACCAAAAAGCTTCAACAGCTTCGGATCTCCACCGTCGCCACGCCGGAAACTCATTAGCACGTCCACCGCTACATCATCGGCTGGTTTGGTAGACAAATCTCGATCGCTGTCTTCAGCGATCACAACATTTGGCGGTGCAATCGCGTTGCTAGTGCCTGCTGCATCGATCTGATTCCGGTTCATCATCATCGTCCACCGTGCACTTTGAGCTTTGAATACCTCGGAACTCTCGTCAACTTCCGGAATCAAAATTCCATCCGCCAGCGGAGTCGGTGTACCACCGGCAAGCACCGTCCTCACAGCAGCCTCACAGAGATCCCAGTTTCCAGTCGATAGGAGTCCCATGGCACCATTAATTGGATTCAGCGTCCGCCCAACCGCTTCGTAGAGAAGCGATCGAAACAACTCTGAGAAAAAAAAAATCAAAATGCAGGCACATGCAAAATTAAGACAAAAATGAATCAAAAACCGCTACAGGATTGAAATCAAACTAGGAAACTGATTTGTGAAAGGTTAATTTAGGGAATATAGACCAGTGCGACGGTGGCCGGGAGGGGCGGAGGAGATGAAATTGATGAGATCGCTGCGGCCGAAGAACTTGGAGAGGAAGAGGGTGGCGTGACCTTGGGAATCAGGAGACTGGATCCACTCCAAACAAGGCCTGAGGACACAGGTGTTACCGCAACCTTTGCGCAGAACTCGGCAGCCATTGCAGCTCCCCATTTCTGATCTCCTGCTCTCAGTTATAGCTTTTGTGAAAGAGGGGATTTCTGTGAATCAAAGGGAGAAAGAGAGCGAGAGATATAAGGGATGAAAAAACATTCGAGAGAGAGAGAAAGAGAAAGAGGTTGGTTTTGGCATTATCTAATGAATGTTGGTGGCATTAACTTTAACTCTGGTGTTTGTTATGCAGACCCTGAGATAGAGCGCCATTGCTAAGAAGCATTTTTATTTTTTTTTGGGTTGTTTGTTTACCGGTTAATAGTTTATTAAAAAGCAACCTCTGAATCGTTAAGAGTTGAATCTTATTTGATAAAAAAAAAGTCTGTCTCCTAACCATTAAGAGCCCTAATTTTATTGTACACAATTACCAAACAATTATATTTCATTTTGCACTATATCATGAGAGCTTCTTAATAATTCTGATCACTTAATCATTCAGCAATTGCCAAACAGCCCCTAAAATGAAGAAAATTAAGATTTTTAGTATTTTATGCAATTTTTTTGCTCTAACAGATTATTTAAAACTTTCTTCAAAATAAAAAAAAAAAACACGAAGAAAGATGTAAAATTCATTGAAATATCCTCAAAATTAAATGTTTACCGGAAAAAAAAAGTATTTTTGTTTAATTATTCCTATCGATAACACTAGTTGAAATTAAGGTGAATATTATTCATATCCACTTCTATAAGAATGGACGTTCTAATCTTTTTGTAGGCTCTTTTATATTTAAAAACTATTGATTACATTGCATAAATGAGATAACAGAGAGTATATGTTAAAAACAAAAATGGGCTAAACCTAAAATGATTAACAATCTGAAACTAAATTTAAACCATTAATGATTTGAACATAAAACCAAACAATTAATGGTTTGAACCTAAATAATTTCAGCTATAGTTTTACACAGGTCGATAAAAGACCCTAAACACATGTAAATTTGGGCCTCCAATTTTCGGGAGCCCTGTTCAAAATCTCACATTTAACATGTTAAGGGACGGTCATGCCTATAAGAGGGGTATGTGAGTGAGATAGGGGAGTAGGGGAAGAACTAAGTGTATGTGAATGGGTATAAAAATATATTCTCCCAAAATCACAGTCTCATTCCGTCAAGCCAATGAAATTAAGACACCATAGGGTTTTATATATTTTATATTTATGTTACTAAAAGACACATTCTTTTTGATGATGTGTATTCATGTGATTGGATGAAAGAAATGAGACATGAGAATTTAGGACATCTGAGGGAGGAGGTCTGAATAGAAACCCTCGAAATTAAATGTGTATGGAAGAGAAAATATTTTTTTGTTAACGTATTGGATATTTTAATAATAATATCATCAGTATATGGATACCTAAAATAGAAAAGGTGTTACAATTGAATATAATTATTGTTGGTTCTGACTTTTAATTCACCATTTTGAATAATTTGTTGAAGATGTTCCCATTAATTTATTAATCTTGTTATATATCCCTTATTTTTGTTGGACTGGAAAAAAACATTTTTGTCCCACACAGTTTAAGTCTTGGTCAGTTTAATGGCACGTCATATTAGGGGTGCTCAAAAACCCGATCAATTCGATCAACCTAACCCGATCCAACGTGAAATAACTCAATCCGAAGCAACCCGATGTCTAATCGAGTTATAAAATTTTCAAACCGTAGGTATTTGGTTGATATTGGGTTACTATTATTTGAACTCAATGCAACACCGATGAACCCGATATCATTTTATGTCTTGGATTTAATATGATTGTTGAATTTCTATTAATATATACATTAGACAATTATACTATCACGTACGCTCTTCATATATATATATATATATATTCAATTTATTCACATATCTATATAACTCATTAGGTAAGAATTGATATTTTCAGATAAAATAGAAGCTTTTATTTCAAGTTTAATCTGTTAAAAATAAAACGTAGTTATTACGAAGAATAACCTTTCTTTACACTTTTAATATTATTTTAATCTCATAAAAATTATTTGTAACGTTTGAATATTTTTTCCTTTAAAAAAGTTAATAGAGATAAATGAGGAAAAACACATGAAGCAAAATTAAAGTGTAAATATTATAAAATAAATGTTCACAAAAAGTGTAGTTTTGTGGTGAAAAGATAGTTAATTATGGTTTTGGATGATTTTTTTTATCTAAGTTGTTAATGTCGTGTTCGATACGCAGTACATGATGGAACAGAACGGAAACTTTTTGTCTGATATTTGATACAATAATAAATTGGGGCAAAATTGAGTGCAACAAAACTTTCATGTTTAGGTAGAACAAAAATCAGGGAGATAAAACAAGATTGATAAATTATTAAATTGTTCATGTAAAATTAAAATCATAAACCATCCGTAATTTTTTCACCCACCTAACTCACTCTCGTTCACCAGTCCGATCCACTCACGTCTTATTCAATTATGTTCAGTCCCGATAAAGCTGATGATTTGTTAAGCCCCCAACCTACGTGGCATCCATGTTAGTTGTCAATTGCTAAATATTGTCAAATGTGACGTATTTCGATCACGTTATGATTTCCCACTCATCTTCTTTGATGTCTCTTGACCATTGACTCATCTTTCCTGATGACTTATTGATTCATCTTCTTTGATGACATTTATTGCTATCTACCGTCATTTTTTCCTTCGAAAATCAGGGACTCCAAAAATAATCGAAAAACAATTCATAGTCCATGTATAAATTAGAAAAAGACGTGCTAATAGGTCAAAAAAGGGGTTTGTGCCGCAGGTGTTGAACGATCCACAAGTCATTCCGATAATAAAATAACCATATTATTGTGTTTATGCCACATCTAGCATAAAGAACAGTTGATTATACCAATCAATTTTAATCTGAATGACGATTTTACAAAGTTTATGATTTGAATGGTTAAAAAAATATCGGTTATCGAACATATAAATTATTTTAATTCAAAACTTAATATCTTTGTACTATATGAGGAGACGTATTTTAAGACTACTTCTATTATGGTCTAAATTACAAAACTACCCCTTAAGTTTAGTTTCTCTTTATCATTTTATTTTACATTTATAGACGACCTAGAAAATTTTGTACCGCATTTGTGGCCACTACATAATTTATATATCCTGATGATTGGAGGTAAGACAACGGTAGCTGGAAGAGATAGAACTAGTAAGAGATTTTTTTAGTACTTTGTTAATGTAGTAGTGAACGGGGGCAGTTCCCCCTCCCTTTATGTCATAGATCCATCCTTGTAATATGGTTGTGCAAAAAGTCAATCGATCTAATTGGAACCGTCTGATCTGATTAAAATCGACGGACCATAATTGGATATCCAGTTGTACTTGGATAAGGTTAGATTGAAAATTTCAACATTTAATTTGGATCGATCGGTTATTGGATGACAGTCTAGAACCGATCAAAACCGACCGAACCAACATCTAATTGACCATTTGATGATCATCCAGTTATCCATCCACTATTATTCAACTATCATCAAATTAATTTGTTTTCGGTTTGCTTAAAATCGGAATTTGTTTTTTTCATGATTTTTGAATTTTTAGTCTTTCTTGTGTTGGTTTTAACACATACTAAAAGACAATCAATTTGTTTCATTATTGGAAAATTGGATTGAATTAAGACATTAGATGGATCCCAATTCGATCTGAATCATCCATTGGATGTCAGATGGATCCAATTCGATCAAATCCAATTAGCATTGGTTGGATCGAATTCGATTAAGTGGTTATTCAATGGATGAAATCGAACCGATCCAATCATCCATTGGATTGGACTGGATCGATTGTCCATTGTTAATCAGATTGGACTGTCAAAATCCAACATCCAATTTGGTTCCATTCACATCCACGAATGTCAACCGATGATTAGGTCTACTTGTAATTACAGGGTTGTGCAAAATTTATCTTGCATCATAGACAATCCAATATTCAAATTAGTTCTTGGTTTAAGATATTCTCAAAAATGGTTTGTCAATCGACCCGGTTTTGAATAAGAACGGGACTGGTACTTTTATAAACCTTGAAGCAACATCACTTGATATCTATATTTTTCAAATCACAGAAGTTCGAATTTGACTTATTGAGTTTAGTTTATTGTCTGATTTGGAACTGTAGATTTGTCCAGTTTTTCATTCTGCTATTTTTTTTAAGTTTTTGGTTTTGGTCCATTATAGTTCTAACATAATGCGAGGTTGTGAACCTCTATAATGGATATAGAAATCCAGTATCCAAATATTATATGTATTTTAAAAACATACATACATGCAATAAATTGGAAGAATTCAATTTAATATCATTGGACGATTTCACTGAAAAACCATGAAAACAATATATAAGTTTTGAGACAGATCATATATTTATCTGATTTCTTACACATTATATATATATATATATATATATATATGATGAGAACTGATTTTGCATATATGATCATTCAACCTACCTTTGAGAACCTCGGTTCAAAATATTTATAAGATCTTTCAATTTGAAATAGATAAAACATCGATATGGAGAAATACATAGGTGGTTGTTTCGGACAATATTTTTTGGAAGGACGAAATTTGTAATATAAAAAAGATAAAATGTGAATATGGTAATTGTTTAATAGTATAGGGACTGTTTTTGTAATTAAGTAAAGGAGTTATCAGTCGGGGGTTGTTGGGCGTGGTAATCGAGGGGAAGAATAAACTCCGAACTCTGGGTTCGAGCGGCTCCGTGTTTTCGCGTCTTTTTTCTTTTTCTTTTTCTTTTTTATTTTTAATAATTATTTTATCAGGAAAATTAAAAGCATATTTTTATTTTGAAAATTAATTAAAATAATTATTTTTTCCGGTGGATTGTAACTCTTAGTCATTTCTCTTTCAGAATTAGGAAAATAACCATAGGTCCGTATTTGTGGAGGAATAGCAACAGGCTGAGTTCGAGCCGATTATTAGCATCCTCGTTTCCGAAACCGATAACTAAAATCGTTCCTTAACAGCCCTTATCCCCA